TAAAAGACTAGTTTCTTGAATATGTAAGAACTCCTGTATGATATAAAAAGCAAATTAAATAGAAAACTAGTCAAAAGATGTGAATAGGGATTATAAAATAGAGGAGATACAATAACATCAACATTGAAAAGATGGTCTGTGTATTCAGTGAGATGCAAATTACATATCCCTGAAACAGTTTTGTAATTTACTGAAGTGACACATACTCCAAAGTTCATTAGCACATTTGTGTAGAGGAGGCTGTGAGAAAACAAGCATTCTCCAAACTAATACTTTATTCCGTTGATATTGGGAAATTTAGGAAGATCTCTCACATCACAAATGCAGGTGTCTTGTGCCCCCTTGAGTCATTCCACCTGTGTGTTCTTCTACGCATACTCTTGCTCAAGGTAAGTAATAATTTTTTATACATGAATCATCATATAAAACATCTTTTTATCTATCCTTATCTGTCATCTATCTCTGTTATCTATCTTCTATCTGTCAATCATCTGTCTATCATCTATCTAATCTATCACCTCTGTCATTTATCTCTCTGTCAGTCTGTCTGTCTATCTATCTAATGTTTTTAAAGGATTTCACTTGGGGGTAATAGCAAAAGTTTTGAAATAAGCCAAATGTCCACCAATAGGTGACTGGTTAAATAAATCATGATATGGGTATGAAATAGGGCTGAGAAAAAAGCATGAAGAAGGTGTTTATATACTAAAATGAAAAACTCTTAGAGTCAGGAAAAAAAAAAGCAGAGCACACAGATCATTGTACATAGTAGGCATTTTTTCTGTTTTGTAAATTGGGGGGAAAGAATACATACCTGTATTAATTTGCTTATACACAGAGAAACTCTGGAATTACTCACAAGGAAGTAATTCTAGTGGTTACCTATGATTGGTGGTGGTGAATTAGGAGCTGGGAGAATGGGGAAGAGGAGAAAGAAATGTTTTAACTGTATTCCTGTATAAAGAACATAGGAATAATCACCTTTTCAAATAAATATAATAGAGGAAATATTAGAATGAAAAATGAATACCATTGACTGTGTGTATCACTCAGAGTTCCAACAGAGAAATAGCACTGTAAGAAGTATATAAAGAGTTTTATTGCCACAACATTGGCTTATGTGACTGTAGGGTCTGGCTAGGCAAGCCCAAAGTCTGTAGAGCTGGCTGTCAGGAAGCGCTGGCTGGAAAATCTGTGGCAAGAGCTTATGCTGCAGATTTTTTTCTTCCTCAGGGAAACCTCAATTCTGCTCTTAAAGGCTTTCAACTGATTAGATCAGGCCCACCCAGATGATGGAAGAGAATCTCTTTTACTTGAAATCAATCGATTATAGATTGAACCATATCGACAAAATAACTTCACAGTGATACCTAGACTAGTGTTTGAATAAGTGGGAACTGAAGCCTAGCCAATTTGACACATAAAACTGACTATCTCCCCTTTCCTCTGAAATCCAGTTTGTTATTAGAGAAATGGCAAGGTTTGGGAATAAAGGCAACATATATTGAATGTTTCAGAAAAGCAAATCACTTCCTAGATTTTCTGAAATATTTCTTGGGTCAAAAATGTTTTATCGACTCTGAGATGACATTGATTGTAAGACACCATATTTTTTGTGCTACTAAAAAAGAAAAAAAATCTAATGACACAGACATGCTGTTGATTTTAAAACGTATACTCATTTCAGTGATATTTCAGTGGCTAATATGTGTATTAGCCAAAGTTCTCCAGAGAAACACAACCAATATGCTGAACACTGGCATACTGGCTCTACTGGCTCTTCCGGCTTCTTCCTATTAGATACATAGGAGAGTTTTGTTTTTTTTTTTTTAATATTCTGCAATGACAATTTTATTTAATTAAGCTAATTAATTTACAAATTTACAACTTTTATTTTAAGTTCAGGGGTACACGCACATGGTGTGCAGGTTAGTTACACACATAGGCACATGTGTGCCATGGTAGTTTGTGGCACAGATCATCCATCACCCAGGTATTGAGCTCAGCATCCATTAGACATTCTTCCTGATCCTCTCCCTCCTCCCACCCCACCCTCTGACAGGCCCCAGTGTGTGCTGTTCCCCTCCATGTGTCCGTGTGTTCTCATCATTTAGTTCCCACCTATAAGTGAGAACATGTGGTATTTGGTTTGCTGTTCCTGTGTTAGTTTGCTAAAGATAATGGCTTCCAGAACCATCCATTTCCCTGCAAAGAACATGATCTCATTCTTGTTTATGGCTGCATAGAATTCCATGGTGTGTATGTACCACATTTTCTTTATCCAGTTTATCATTGATGGGCATGTAGGTTGATTCCATGTCTTTGCTATTGTGAATAGTGCTGCAGTGAACATACATGTGCCTGTGTCTTTACAGGAGAACAATTTATATCCATGTGGCTATATACCCAGTAATGGGTTTGCTGGGTTGAATGGTATTGCTGACTCTGGGTCACCAAGGAATCACCACCCTGTCTTCCACAATGGCTGTACTAATCTATACTCCCACCAACAGTGTAAAAACATTCCTTTTCTCCACAACCTCTCCAGCATCTGTTGTTTCTTGACTTTTTTTTTTCCTTTGAGACGTAGTTTCGCTCTTGTTATCCAGGCTGTAGTGCCAAGGCGCGATCTCAGCTCACCGCAACCTCCGCCTCCTGGGTTCAGGTAATTCTCCTGCCTCAGCCTCCTGAGTAGCTGGGATTACAGGCACGCACCACCGTGCCCAGCTAATTTTTTTTTGAATTTTTAGTAGAGACGGGGTTTCACCATGTTGACCAGGATGGTCTCGATCTCTTGACCTCGTGATCCACCCACCTCGGCCTCCCAAAGTGCTGGGATTACAGGTGTGAGCCACCGTGTTTCTTGACTTTTTAATAACAGCCATTCTAACTGGCATGAGATGGTATCTCATTGTAGTTTTGATGTGCATTTCTCTAATAATCAGTGATGTTGAGCTTTTTTTCATATGTTTGTTGGCCACGTGTATGTCTTCTTTTGAGAAGTGTCTGTTCATGTCCTTTGCCTACTTTTTAATTTTTTTTTTTTCTTGTAAATTTAAGTTCCTTAGAGATGCTGGGTATTAGAGCTGTGTCGGATGCGTAGCTTGCACAAAATTTTCTCCTGTTCTGCAGGTTGCCTGATTACTCTGTTGATAGTTTCTTCTGCTGTGCAGAAGCTCTGTAGTTTAATTAGATCCCATTTGTCAATTTTTGCCTTTGTTGCAATTGTCTTTGCAGTCTTCGTCATGAAATCTTTGCCATGCCTGTGCTATGAATGGTATTGCCTACGTTTTCTTCCAGGGTTTTTATAGCTTTGGGTTTTACGTTTATGGCTTTAATCCATTGTGAGTTGATTTTTGTATATGGTGTAAGGAAGGGGTCCAGTTTCAATGTCTGTATATGGCTAACCAGTGGGAGAGATTTATTTTAGGGAAATGGCTCACATGATTATGGAGGCTGAGAAATCCCACAATCTGCCATTTGCAAACTGGAGGCTCAGGAAAGCCAGTGGTATAGTTCTAATTCATGCTTGAAGGCCTGAGAAACAGAACAGCCTAAGATGTAAGTTGTGGCCTAAATCTGAAGGCCCAAGAACCAGGAGCACTGATGTCTGAGGGCAAGAGAAGATGGATGTCCCAGCTTAAACAACAAGAGCAAACTCACCTTTCTTCCCCCTTTGGTTCTATGGTGTTCTCAGTGGAGTCACACTAATGAAGGCAGGGTTCTTGAATAATGCAAATGCTAATGATTTCTGGAAACACCTCAGACACACTAGAAATAATGTTTTTCTAGCTAGCTGGGTATTGCTTTGCCCCATCAGATTGACACAGAAAATTAATTATCACAGTATGTGCATCTTAGAATTGACTAAAATACTCTATTTTATGCTCTCACTAGACCATGTACAGCTAGACCAATGTGTCAGACCTGTATGTTCGAATTTTGATTCAGAAAATATGAACATATTCCATGTAACACATGTTTTTGAATTGTCTGCCCTGCAGTCTGGCTCAAGAGCTGAACGTTAGCTGTGTCTAGAGTCCAGACAAGTGTCACCAAAGAATCCCAATAAAAGACACATTTCTAATCTTCCAGCCAAACCCTGGATGTGGTGGGCTTTTTGAATGGAGAGCAGAGGTTGAGAGGAGAGTCCGTTTTTATGACTTTATGACCTTCCTCCATCTCCCAACCCCAAGCAGGCAGGATTACGACGGGTCTGTGGCATTGTTTGGCATGCAGGGAATACTCTAGCTGATCACTGGCATACTGGCTTTTCCCGCTTCTTCCTCTTTGATACTGAGAGAGTGCCGGGAGCGGCCAACTTGATATATTTCACATGCTGAGCCCAAATATTAAAAGACTACTTTGATATCATGATAACCACAGGAATATATAAATCTCATTCAATGGTTTTTGAAGTGTACTAGCTCCTAATTTAGTTAAACTTTAGGACAGAAGGGTGACAAAGCCTCCCTGCTGCCCACTTTAGAGTTACAGAAAAAGAAAAGTTGGGTGCCACGATTTTAGGCAGCGAGAGAAGAAAATGACATCTGGAACCCAGCTGAGTCATCATAGTGGGTTACAGTGACCTACAAACTGCAAAGGAGTGGGTAGCTGGCCCTTCCGTTTGCTAGGGCCAAATTTTCAATTGCTTTTTATGAATTGGAGCTCTTCCATATAGCCAGTGTGTGAACATCATCTCATGGAGCGTAGGCAACGGTTGGTGGGAAACTGGTTCTGATTCCCAGCTTCAAAGAGGCCAAAAGGGTGTATCGGAACATGCTTTGTTCAACGTAACTCACTAATCTTGCTGTACCTACTTTGCTATGTTTTATGGAGTCTACCAAAAAAATCACATTTTTGATACAACGGGCTCAACAAAGTAAAATATAGTGCAGTTCGCCTTTCTAAATGCCCGAGTCAGAAATACGAAGCTTAAAAGCTATCATCGACTTTTATTCAAACAGATAGTAAAAATATTAGACTTGGAAGGTACTTACGTTGTTTAAATAGATGACATTATTAACTCTGTGCTTTGAAATTTGCCTCTTGAATGATTTTTTTTCCTGAAAAACAAACCATAAACCATTTTAGTCTGAATTCCTTTCTGATTTATCAACCATTGGAAGTACTATTGTCGATATAATGTCAAAAGAAGAAAACAAAATCCTATAAAAATCTGGAAAAAGTGCACCCCAAACAGTGAGCGCTTTTGAGAACTGCAGTTAATACCCATTGTGCTGAAAATCGACTTGAAATGTGCGGGTATATACAATAGCCCTACAGTGGCCCAAGGAAGCCTTTTGTGTCTGACATGCAAGTCATCTGAATGCGTAAAGAACAGTATTGTCCTCAAAAATGCATTTTATATTAAAGGTATTTGGAAAAAAAGAAAATAGCTACAGGTTCAGTTTCTTCTTTACAAAGAGGTCAAAGTCATTTAGATGGAGCCTAGGAATTGCTGAACTTTGATACTTCCTTTTATTATTATTTTACAGAATCCTCCCATTATGCCTCTGATTCTATTATAAATCTTATTTTCACCCTATCTTCAAATATACTTTTGAAATTTGCACAATATACACATTTAAGATAGGCTCTTTAAATTCAGTCAGTCACTAAAAAGTCACAGTGCTTATTCAGTTAAAAAACATTTACTGAGCATCTTCTATGTCTAAGGCATTGACTGTGAGCTGTGAAAAATGCAAAGATACATAAAGGCATGGTTCCCACCGTTGTGAAGCTTACAGAAGGCAGAAGGGAGAAAGCTGTAAAACAATTATAAGACGTACTGAAAGTCAGTCGTACAAATGATTACAGTGGGATGTAATCCTTCCTTATGAATTCAGCTCCTCCTCCTTTTAAAAGCTGGCCACAAGCCTTGTGTCCTCTCACACTGTGAATGTATGAATTCAGCTCCTCCTCCTTTTAAAAGCTGGCCAAAAGCCTTGTGTCCTCTCACACTGTGAATGTAATGCTCATTGTTCTGGGGCCCTCCATTTGCAGAATCTGGATTCTAAGTCACATACTGGCTTATTTCTACCAGTTTCCAGCAGTGCTTTGAGAACAAATAAATGGACTTCTAGTTACCGGAATGTGTTAGAAGAGATCTCTTTATCTTCCCTCTTGAGCAATTATTTTCAGCAAAAGTTAGTGGTACTGTGTTTTCTTCTCTAATAAGAATGGATGATGCTAAAATATTGCATCCATTATAATTTCCCTATTTCCACAGCTGTAGAAACCACATAGGTTTTGACTCTAGGAGGTATTTACAAAACATAAAAGCTGAGGAAGTCATGGTAATTAATTTCTCTAAATTAGTTTATTAGAGATTATTCATCTAGTGTTGTTGCTAGCTAATGGCATCAGACATACGATGGCTACGTTTTGGTCTAAAAACCATTGGAGACCTGGGGCAGTGGCTCACGCCTGTAATCACAGCACTTGGGATGCCAAGGCAGAAGGATCACTTGAGGCCAGGAGTTCAAGGACTGTCTCTACTAAAAATACAAAAACCAGCTGGTCGTGGTGGCGTGCACCTGTAGTTCCAGCTATTCAGGAGGCTGAGGCAGGAGAATTGCTTGAACCTGAGAAGCTAACTGCAGCGAGCTGAGATCATGGCACTGCACTCCAGCCTGGGTGACAGAGTGAAACTTTGTCTCAAAACAAAACACTCCCCAAACAGCCAACCAACCAACAAAACAAAAACATCCAGGGGAGGGAAAAGAGGGGTCAGCACAGGGCCACAGGATGGGGGATGCATCAGGGATCTATAGGGAGATGACAGACCCCAGAGTCAGAGTTACTGTTCTTGAAGCTCATGTCCTTGCATAATTAGTTGTGCTGCCCTGGACACTTACGTTCTTTAAATCGCAGTTTCCTAATCTGTAAAAGTGTTTTCATAACTCATAGCTTTTGCAGTGTATTAGGTGAGAGTGTGGGGAGTGTAATTTGAGATATTATTTAGCACAGGTCACCTATGTGTTTCATGGTGTTTGCTGCATAATGAGTATTCAGTAAATGTTAATTCCTCTCCCAGGGCAGAGAGATAGAACAGTGGAAAGAAAAAGGGAGAAGGACAAGGAAAGAAAGAAAAGAATGGAGGAAGAAGTCTATAGCATGACTGAAGGTGACTCTGATTTCGAGTATCTGTTGACCACAGAAACCTGGCCTTGTCTAGGAAAATAAGCCTTTTCCAGGTACGCAGGTAGAAAGACTATTGGGTTAGGATTTAGGATGCTTGTGTTTTAGGATCAGCTCTCCAATCAAGTAACATTTAGGTTTAATTTAGATGACCTCTTTGCATCCTAAAACTATTGATGAAGTATTTAAGATGGAAATAACTGAGAATCACTTCATGTATTTCATATAAATTTAAGCCGTTAACTCGTAATGAGTGGGAACGGGTTTAAGGAAATTTTTACAAAGGCGCTATTTACAAGGGTGCACTGTTAATATTGTAAAAACAGTGGAATGGTTACCACCACTCGGCCTGAAGGTGGGAAAGGAAAAGAAAGAGGCTTGTGGAGGCCTCTGAGAGGAGCCATGACTGTGGGTCATGGATATAACCACCCCAGCCATAGGATGCTTTGCAGGGAAGGAGCCAGGGAAATGAATCACCTCATCGCACACTTTTCTTTTTGAATTTCTGCTGGGTCTTTTCATTGTTACTCTACATCCAACTGGAAGCCTCAAGACTAAAGAGCTTAATCATGTAGTCTCTACCTGTTAGATCCTGAAACAGGAAGAAGGGTAGTAGAAAGGAGAGCAGATATGGCAGGGGATAGAAGATATATGTCAGGGGCCTAGATTTCTTTATTTTCATTTTAAATTGAAAATTTATAATTGTATAAACTTATAGGGTGTAAAGTAAATGTATAATTTATAAATACAACAGGAAAATGAAATCAAGCTAGTTAACGTGTCTGTCACCTCAAATACTTAACATTTTTTGTGATGAGAACATCTGAAATTTACTCTTAGCAATTTTGAAATATACAATATTATTAACTATATTCATCAGACTATGCAAATGAAACTCAGAAAAAGAAACAAAACATACTCCTGTGTGATATTTTGTATCCTTCAACCACCTGGCCGTTCCCCCTACTACTTGTGAGTGAAAACATGTGGTATTTGTTTTTCTGTATCTGACTTATTTCATTAGCATAGTGTTCTCCAATTCCACCTATATTGCAAATGACAGATTTTCTTTCTTTTTAAGGGCTGAATAGTACTTCACTGTGTATATATACCACATTTTCTTTAACCATTCATCTGTTGATGAACACTTAGGCTGATTCCGTAACTTGGCTGTTGTGAACAGGCCCCAATGAATACAGGATATTTCTTAGAGAAACTGACTTCAAATCTTCTGGGTAAGTGCCCAGAAATGGGATTGCTCAGTTATATGATAATTCCACTTTTAGTTTTATGAGGAACTTCCGTAATATTTCTCATAAAAACTGTTTTCCATAATGTCTGCATTAACTTACATTTAACCAACAGTATACAAGGGTTTCCTTTTCTACAAATTTTTCTTACTGTTCTCCAATTGAACACTTAAAAAGCGATTCTCAGTTATGTTCATCTTAAATACTTCATCACGAATTTGAGGATGCAAAGAGATCATCTAAATCAAATCTAAATGTTACTTGCTGGGAGAGCTGATTCTAAAACCCAAGTGTCCTAGATCCTAACCATATAGTCTTTTTCCATTTGTTATCTTTTATGCTTTTGATAAAAGCCATTCTGACAGGTGTGAGATGATATCTCATTGTGGTTTTAATTTACATTTCCTAATGATTACTAATATTGAGCATTTTTCACACATCTGTTGGTCAGTTGTATGTCTTCTTTTGAGAAATGCCTATTTAGGTCTCTTGTACATTTTTAAAATTGGGATTCTTGTTTTTTTGGTATTGAATTGTTTGGGCTCCTTACATGTTTTGAATATTAGCCCCTTAGCAGATGTATGGCTTGCAAATGTTTTTTCCTAATCCAAAGGTTGACTCTGCAGTGAATTGTTTCCTTTGCTGTGCAGAAGCTTTTTGGTTTGATGTAATCCCATTTGTCTATTTTTGCTTTCATTGCTTGAACTTTTGGAGTCAAAAAAACCAAAATCATCGATCAGACTAATGTCATGTATTTTTTTCCCCCTATGTTTGTTTCTAGTAGTTTTAGGGTTTCTTATTTTAAGTCTTTCATCTGTTTGGGTTAGTTTTTGCATATGGTGTGAGAAAACAGTCCAGTTTCATTCTTTCTGTGTATGGAAATTTAATTTCCCCAACACCATTTATTAAAGGAACTGCCATTTTCCCATTGTGTCTTCTTGACACCTTTGTCAAAAATTAGTTGACTGTGCATATATTGGTTCATTTCTGGGTGTTCTATTCTGTTTCATTGATCAACAGGTTCATTTTATTTTTTGCCAATACCATGACGTTTTAATTACTATTGTTTTATAGTATAGTTTGAAATCAGGTAGCATGTTACATCCAGCTTTATTCTTTTTGCTCATCGGGATTTTTTGTGGTTCTATATGAATTTTAAGATCATTTTTTCTATTTCTATGAAAAATGATGTCGGACTTTTGATAGGTATTGCATTGAATATGTACATTACTTTGGATGGCGTAGACATTTTAACAATATTAACTCTTTCAACTCATGAACATGAATATCTTTTCATTTATTTGTGTCTTCAATTTTTTTCATCAACTTTTTACAGTTTTTAGTATATAGCTCTTTTACCTACTTGGTTAAATTTATTCCTAAGTATTTTTTTTTGTTTCTGTAATTGTTTTGAATGGAATTGTTCTCTTGATTTCATTTTCAGATAGTTCATCAGTAGTATATAGAACCCCCACCAACTTTTATGTGTTGATTTTGTATCCTGCAACTTTATTCATTTATTAGTCCTGATGGTCTTTTGGTAGAATTTGTAGGTTTTTCTATATATAGGATTATGTTGTCAGCAAACGGTGAAAATTTTATTTCTTCCTTTTCTATTTGAATGCTTTTCATTTCTTTTTCTTGCCTAATTGCTCTGGCAAGAACTTCCAATTCTATGTTGAATAAAAGTGGTAAGAGTGGGTCAGGTGTGGTGGCTCACACCTATAATCCCAGCACTTTGGGAGGCCGAGGCGGGTGGATCATGAGGTCAAGAGATCGAGACCATCCTGGTCAACAAGGTGAAACCCCGTCTCTACTAAACATGCAAAAATTAGCTGGGCATGGTGGCGCGTGCCTGTAATCCCGGCTACTCAGGAGGCCGAGGCAGGAGAATTGCCTGAACCCAGGAGGCGGAGGTTGCGGTGAGCCGAGATCGCGCCATTGCACTCCAGCCTGGGCAACAAGAGCGAAACTCCGTCTAAAAAAAGAAAAAAAAAGTGGTAAGAGTGGGTGGGCATCATATCTTGTTCCAGATTTTAGAGGAAGGCTTTCAATTTTTTTTTTTTAATCTTTGAGTATACTGTTAGCTGTGGGCTTCTCATACATGGTCTTTGTTATGTTGAGACAGGCTTGACCCAGGAAGTCTAACAATGGTTCCAAAAGGCCCTCCCAACAGCCCCATCCAGGCAGGAGACTCCTGCTCCTGTAGATTTTAGAGAAGCAAGGAGCTAGACCAGCTTTGCCCAGAGAGTCAAACAGTGGCTCCACCCAGCCTAAAAGGTCTAGATCTAGATTGGAGTCTTGAGTGAGAACCTGATTTGTAACTGCAGAAGAGTCCCAAGCCCATGGTTTCATGGAGCCTGTAGATCTGAAGATACGCTCCTCACAAGGCAAAAGCCCTTGATGAGAGTCCATATCTCACGTTTCTCTGCTTTGAACGTGGGTTATCCTCTATTCATTGCAACACTATTCATGATAGCCAAGTTATAGAATCAATCTAAGTGTGCATCAACAGATGAATGGATAAAGAAAATGTGGTATATATACACAATGGAATACTATTTATATACTCTAGGTTAGCCCTGGTCGGAAGCCCCGAAATACTCAGATTGTTAGAGGGCTCTGATACACGTAATTGTTACTGAGATCCATGAGCCAGAGATGTATAAAATGTACCTAGGTCTCACATGAGGGACACAGAGCCTGCCAGACTGAATTGAGAGGTGCACTCAAATTGTGTTAGAAACTAAATAGGGCAGTTATTTTGCCTGTAGCAAATTTTTATCCTGATGCTTCGTGTGCTCAGGGTACTTCTGATTACCTTCTCAAATAATAATACAGCGGAGGAGGGCATAATGGCATTTCGGTCAATGATGGACTACATATAGGGTGGTGGTCCCAACGATAATAATGGAGGTGAGAAATTTCTATCATCTAGTGACGTCACAGCCATCCTAGCTCAATTACTTAATTTTAAAATAAATTTAGTATAGCCTAAGTGTACAGTGTTTTAAAAGTCTGCAAGAGTGTACAGCGACGTCCTGGGCTTTCAGTCACTCATCGCTGACTCGTTGACTCACCCAGAGATACTTCAGTCCTTTGCGCCCCATTCATGGTGAGTGCCCTACACAGGTGTGCCATTTTCATCTTTTACACTGTTTTTCTTTTCTGTACCTTTTTATGTTTAGATACACAAACACTTACCATTATGTTACAATTGCCTACATATCCAATGTAGTAATATGCTGTACAGGCTTGTAGCCTAGGAGCAGACAATACCATCTAGCTCTGTGTAAGTACACTCTCTGATGTTCTCACAGCCTTCACCTAACTGTTGAAATCACCTAACAATGCATTTCTTAGAACATAGCCCGTTGTTAAGTGACTCATGACTACAATTACCAATAATTGAGGGCTATGTGCCAGACTTTGCGAATACTTCATATATAAAATGAGATAAAATTATTCCAGTTTCTTCCAAATTCTGGCAGTAGGGCTAGCAAGACTCCATGAGTAGATTTTTCTTATTAATTAAAACATTTGAAAATATATGAATATCTGTTTTCTCTTGCTCTGGACGAAAGAGTAAAAGGAAAATTTGTGTAGGGAGCCCAGTAGATTTTCTTGAGGAAAGGGGTGTGAAAATTCTTCTTTCAGCGATTTGAAATTCTGAAAATGGGTTGTTAAGTCTTGTTAACAAGAAAAGGCCCCCAAGTTCATCCGGGAGCTCAGAATATAATTTTGTTAGAAAATAGGATGTGCAGGTATCATTAGTTAAGATGAATTTATAGTCATTTAATATATGGGCCTTAAATCCAATGACTAGCGTTCTTGTAAGAAGAAGGGAGGATTCCTAGGGACATGCAGAATGAACAGGTGACAAAGAAGCTGGGATTGCAGCAATGCAGCTACAGGCTGAGGAATGCCAAAGGTTGCTGGTGGCCCCAGATGCTGGGAGGCATGAGAGTTTCTCCCTTGCAGCATCCAAAAGGAACCAGCCCTGCTGACGCCTTGATTTCAGACTTCCGCTTTCATGGACTGTGAGAGAAGATATTTCTGAGTTTTAAGCCAACCAGTTTGTGGTAACTTGTTATGACAACTCTAGGAAACTTGACACAAGCCCCAAGACCTTGAAAGGGAGCTCTGGGCGGAACATGATTGCTGAGTTAGTGCACAGGACTTCAGTGTAAGAGTCTGGGGGCCGGGCGCGGTGGCTCAAGCCTGTAATCCCAGCACTTTGGGAGGCCGAGGCGGGTGGATCACGAGGTCAAGAGATCGAGACCATCCTGGTCAACTAGGAGAAACCCCGTCTCTACTAAAAATACAAGAAATTAGCTGGGCATGGTGGCCCTTGCCTGTAGTCCCAGCTACAAGGAAGGCTGAGGCGGGAGAATTGCTTGAACCCAGGAGGCGGAGGTTGCGGTGAGCGGGGATTGCGCCATTGCACTCCAGCCTGGGTAACAAGAGCAAAACTCCATCTCAAAAAAAAAAGAGTCTGGGGGCGGGGGGGGGGCGGGGAGGGCAGCTGCAGTAGAGCGATTGGCTGTTACCTGGGAACACCCAATTGCAGGAGTGAGACACCCTGTGTCTCTCAGACACCCTGGGCACACATTGGAGCCAGCAAAGGCATTACTGGTGCAGTGAGCAAGCATCGAGCAGAGGAATCGCCCTCATGCCACTGTGCGCAGAAACTGGGTCTGTGGATCGACTAGCAGCTCCGGTTTTCTCTCCAGCTTACCTAGATTTGACCTTTTCAGGTGGAATGAATCTTCAGAATTCTTGGACTAACTGGCATTAGGCTTCAAGAGGAGATGTGGACTATCCTGTTAATAAAGACACCTGGATGCTTGAGTTATTAACCAAACATAAGAAGACACTAGGTCATGTGTTTCTGCTCAGTTCATGAAGCTGGCTCTGCTGCTCGTGTCTTCGCAACTTAGGTTAGGTGCGTTTATTATCTTTACGTAGGGTTAGAAACTGAGGCTGGTACAGGTGAGCTAACTGGCTTTCTGTAATACAGTCTAGATTGGAATTCAAGTCTGGGTTCAACGCTTGTGTTTTCAACAACTGCAGTTTCCTGCCCGCTAGTACTGGGAAGTGACTCGATCTTCAAAATCTCACAGGAACTTTGTCCAGCAGACCGATGTTGGAAGTGGTAGAGTCTGAATGTGAGCATGAGCAGGGAGGAAGCTGGGAAAGGTTGAAAGCTGGAAGGCAGGTGTGAGGTGGGCTAGACTCAAAGTCATCTCAGAAGTCATGACAAGTTGAAACCATGGCGAGGGGGTATGCGGGCGAATCTAAATGCAGCAGCCAGACAGCAAGCATGGCTCCAACAGAATGGGGTTGTCATGGAAACAGACAGAGATCCAAAGGCCAGGACCTAGAATCTAAACCAGGTCAGAGTGAGATGGTGTCTGAAGCCACAGCTAGAGCAAAAGGGGTGCACACACAGGGCCTGGGCAGGCAGATTTCCTTTGAATGCCTGGCTCCTGCTCTGGCTGGCTTTGCTTCCTGGTCACTGCACATGGGGAGCTCTGCCTCTGGGGTGCCTTAAAGGCTCTCTCAGTCTTCTGACAAGTAAAGAGCCCTTCTACAACCTCCCTTTAGCTAGTTTGCTGGTCCTTTCTCCAATACATTCAATGACAGCCTTCTGAGGGAGTGGCTTATGCCACAACACCTGTGCCTGCCTCCCCTTCTCCTGCGCCCTGGTCATGCCACACCACCTGTGCCTGCCTCCCCTTCTCCTGCGCCCTGGTCATGCCACACCACCTGCGCCTGCCTCCCCTTCTCCTGCGCCCTGGTCATGCCACACCACCTGCGCCTGCCTCCCCTTCTCCTGTGCCCTGGTCATGCCACACCTCCTGCGCCTGCCTCCCCTTCTCCTGTGCCCTGGTCATGCCACACCACCTGCGCCTGCCTCCCCTTCTCCTGCGCCCTGGTCATGCCACACCACCTCAGGGTCTCTGATGCCTCCTACTTTCTTGGCATTGTGGCTTTAACGTTTGCTTTTCCTTCCGCCAGGAATGTTCCTTTCCTTGCCCGGATTAATTTTCCATTTGTCCTTCTACACTCAGCTCTGGTATGGCCTTCACAAACGTGCTATCCAGACTCTTCCCGACCACATCATTTGTTATATGATATTTTGACTTGGCTATTTTGGTAATTTTTACCCTGAGGACATTTTGATTCCAGAAACATTTTCATGCATCATTATTTGATTCGAGCTCACTTTGATGGCTAAAATAATGAACCATCACATTTTGAACTCCGAAAAAAAATCCTAAGGAATGATTAAAACATTTATTCTTATTCCGATACTGACCTTTACAGCATTGCTGAGCCACCCCTCTGTAAGTGGGGAGGGAAGAGGGGAGGTGGTTTAGGAATGAGGTGAGGGGGAGTGAGTTCTGCAGTAGTCAGATGGAAGAAGGATCCATGGTGGGCTGAGTGTTAGGGTCAGGGTGGAGGGTCAGAGGCTCCTGCTGACTTGGGAGTAGAAATTTTGTTGCACTTAGACAGTAACAAAAAGAAAAAATAATTTGGAAATGATATTTCAAATAAGCCATATATTGGGGGTAGAATTTTGTCCCCCGCAAAAGGTGTTAAAATCCTGACCCCCTGTACCTGGGGATGTGACTTTATCTGGAAATGGGGTGTTTGCGGATGATCCAGTTAAGGTGAGGCCATAATCCAATGTGACTTTCTTCTTACCTGTAACATAAAAGGAAATTTGGCTACAGAGACAGACATACACAGAGGAAGGATTATGTGAAGAGCCGCAGGGAGAAAACCGTGTGTGGATGAAGCCAGAGATCATACTGATGCATCACCAAGCCAAGCAATGCAAAAGATTGGAAGCCCAGAGAGGAGCATGGAACAGATCCTCCCTTACAGCCCCTGGGAGGAGCCAACCTGGCTGACACCTTGATCTCAGACTTCTAGCCTCCAGAACGGTAAGACCGTGGATTTCTGTTGCTTAAGCCATCTAGTCTGTGGTGCTTTGTTACAGCAGCCCTAGCAAACGAACACACCATATAAAAACATTGTATCAGAAAGCCTGGTCAAAATGCCCTGTTTCAAGGTAAGCTGCTCATCCTCTGAGCTCCCGGAAAGAACATCATTCCCAGGACATCATTACTCTGTATGTTAATGGTCTGAAACTCGTCTGTATTAGGCACAAGACCATAAGGTCTTCAAGGTCCAAAGCTTTGTTCTTTATGTCTTTCTTCTCAGTATCCAGCTTGTTGGGTCTAGATAACTTAGGGACAAACACATCACGTAGGCTTAAGGTTCTGAGAGCTTGGCTGGCTAAGTGGTTGCCCTAGTTCTCAGAGTACTAAGGTTCAGGTTGAACTCTGCTCCGGTCTCCAGGCTCAGCATGCTTTCCATTTCATCGTGAAGAGCTCTGTCAACTTCACCCGTAGCACCTTCCTCTTCAGGCCGAATTGCCTGTGTTCCTCTATCTATTCTTTACATGTGCAGGTTGCCAAAGCTCTCAATATTCTGGTCGCTCTCCTTCTCTAGATAGGCGTATTCTTAAATAGTGGCATCTAAACTGAACACAATCTTCTATCACCATCACCTTCCTCGATAAAGACCCTAGGCTGGTAGTAATGTTAAGGCTGCTGGAAAATTCTGGCTTCTTATGGATTGCAATCTGTATCCTGTGCAATGCCTTTTGATGCAGAGCGTTCGTCCAACTCCCTGTCATCTGCACTTAATTTCTGCAAGTTTTGAACTAAAATCTGTGACTTCATATTTATCTCTATTAAATTTTATTTGGGTTTCCTCTAATGTTCTACAGGTGTTTACTTGGGTGTCCTCTAATGGTTTGAGATAATTTCATATCTCCATTTATTATCTTAATCATATTAGCTCTCTCATTCCATTTTGGAGCATTTGAAAATATGGTAAGAGTGTTGTTTATGTTTTCAAATCACTGCTAAGAATGTTGAATAGTTTACCTAGCACAGAAGAGCTGGGTAATCATCAAACCTCTGTTTTATTTTCTTTCTTTATGGCCTTGGACCAAATCAGTACAAAGCTGGTAAGCTGAACAAAGCCTTTTCTTATTTATTTATTTATTATACTTTAAGTTCTGGGGTACATGTGCAGATCATGCAGGTTACATAGATATACATGTGCCATGGTGGTGGTTTGCTGCATCCATCGCCCCGTCATCTACATTAGGTATTTCTCCTAATGCTGTCCCTCCTCAATTCCCCCACCCCCTGCTGTTCCTCCCCTAGCCCCACACCTCCAGGCCCTGGTGTGTGGTGTTACCTCCATGTCTGTGTGTTCTCATTGTTCAACATCTACTTATGAGTGAGAACATGCAGTGTTTGGTTTTTTGTTCTTGTGTCAGTTTGCTGAGAATGATGGTTGTCAGTTTCATCCATGTTCCTGCAAAGGACATGAACGCATCCTTTTTTATGGCTGCATAGTACTCCATGATGTATATGTGCCACATTTTCTTTATCCAGTTTATCGTTGGTGGGCATTTGGGTTGGTTCCAAGTCTTTGCTATTGTGAACAGTGCTTCCATAAACATACGTGTGCATGTGTCTTTATAATAGAATGATTTATAATTCTTTGGGTATATACCCCGTAACGGGATTGCTGGGTCAAATGGTATTTCTGTTTCTTGATCCTTGAGGAATCGTCACAGTGTCTTCCACAATGGTTGAACTAATTTACACTCCCACCAGCAGTGTAAAAGTGTTCCTATTTCTCCACATCCTCTCCAGCATCTGTTGTCTCCAGATTTTTTAATGATCGCCATTCTAACTGGTGTGAGATGGTATCTCAATGTGGTTTGATTTGCATTTCTCTAATGACCAGTGATGATGAGCTTCTTTTCATATGTTTGTTGGCTGCATAAATGTCTTCTTTTGAAAAGTGTCTGTTCATATCCTTTGCCCACTTTTTGATAGGGTTGTTTTTTTCCCTGTAAATTTAAGTTCTCCATAGATTCTGGATATTAGCCCTTTGTCAGAGGGGTAGATTGCAAAAATTTTTTCCCATTGTGTTGGTTGCTGGTTTACTCTACTGATTGTTTCTTTTGCTGTACAGAAGCTCTTAAGTTTAATTAGATCCCATTTGTCTATTTTGGCTTTTGTTGCCATTGCTTTTGGTGTTAGTCATGAAGTCCTTGCCCATGCCTGTGTCCTGAATGGTATTGCCTATGTTTTCTTCTAGAATTTTTATGGTGTTAGGCCTCATGTTTAAATCTTTAATCCACCTAGAGTTAATTTGTGTATAAGGTGTAAGGAAGGGGTCCAGTTTCTGCTTTCTGCACATGGCTAGCCAGTTTTCCCAACACTGTTTATTAAACAGGGAATCCTTTCCCCATTGCTTGTTTTTGTCAGGTTTGTCAAAGACCAGATGGTTGTAGTTGTGTGGCGTTATTTCCGAGGCCTCTGTTATGTTCCATTGGTCTATATCTCTGTTTTGGTACCAATGCCATGCTGTTTTGATTACTATAGCCTGAATAAAGCCTTTTCAATGTGATGCCAGGCAAGTAGATATTTCTTACACAGCCACGTGGGTACTGGGTAGTTGATAGTAAGATTTCTGTGAGTTACAGACTCCTCCTTACACAACCATTCATCCAGTCTCAGCTAGGCGTGTCTGGTTACAGCAATCTGGCAGAAACCTCCTCCTCACCCAGCTGCTTCAGTGGGGCCTGGCAGAGTGACATGTATTTGTTCTCAAATATTCCAGTTGTAGGAAAACTGTAACTGCCTGTTTACTTTCTTATCTCTTTTTAAAATCCTACTGATGAGAATTTTAACTAGTAAATCGATCAACTTTTTTCAAACTGCTGCCATCACAGGTGACAAGTAATTAGTGGCAGACACTTGTGAACTTGGGCCATAGCATGATACAGTAATTGAGAGTGAGGACTGTGGAATTTGTCTTTGGTCTGATTTCAGCTCTGCCACCTGACCGTGTGACTCTAGCCAAGTTATTTAATCTCTTTGTGCTTTAGTCTTCTCATCTGTTAAAAGAAAATATCTATTCTGTTATTACTAATGAGTATTAAGCTGAATCACTCTGTGGGAAGTGCTTATCACAGGGGCTGGCACACAGTAGGTACTTCATAAACATTACCATCTTCATTATTACTCAGGCACAAAGCATTTAAGTATTTTAAAATCACAAAGACTGAGGTGACTACGTATGAAATACTTGAATTGCACTATGTCTGCGGACATAAGAGCTTAATGACCATATCAATCTTGGCAGAAAAATGAGCTTTATTGAAATTATTTCACGACTCTAAGGATTGTCTCTAAATAAATTGAATGGTTCACCTAATTACCCAAGTCCTTTCACTTTAAGTAGAATTGATTCACTCCTCTAATATGCCCTGGAGAGGGATGAAATCCAAAAGACAAGCAATTTCAATAGAAAGCAGTCCAAATTCTCCCCAAACTGAAGCTTTTTAGCCTACAAAAACCCTACAGAATCCTCCAAAGAATGGAGACTAATTCTGATGAGGTCTATCATGCACTATTAACGAAATAGGAATGCTTCTTTAACATCTGTACCTTTGACCAACACACTTATTTGAGGATAGTGAAGAAATTGTTCCATGGACTCGACCTCAGTGGTACAGTTTTAATTTTTATTCATCCTGCCCACTTGCTTTTCATCGTTGTATTTTCTTCTCTCAACAAGCTTTTTGTGGCTGCTGTTAGATTAGGAAGGGTAGCAGGACAGGTTGGTAAGTCCTCATGCAGCCTGTGAAGTGAGAATTGCTGTAATAATGGCTGCAGTCAGTGATAAAAGTACAGTTCACTTCAGCAAGCATTTGCTGTATATCTTTTTATATGCCAGTGCCAGGCTAGGGCCTGTAGGGGATACAAGGGTGACTCCATCTTGGTTTCGGTCCACAAAACAATTAGAAGAGGCACAAATGAAGGAGGAATTTTCTAAGTAAAGACATGGTGTGGGGAGGTGAGGATTTGGAAGATGCTCAGAGAACAGAGGCTGGAGGAAGTGACTCGTTTTGGGAAGAAAGAATTTGGAAAGGGAAGATACGAACCTGATGTTAAGGGCTTGACTGTAATTATTTTGCATATGATTTTCTATCTCATAATTGGTCTAATATACCAAGTGTCAGTTTTCATTGAACAAAACACTGAAATAATGGCACTCAAATGAGATGAAGTCAGTGATAATAGCTTTTGAAATATGTGTCTGTTAGTTTTCTCGGGATTAAATTCGCTTGTCTGACACATCATTGTTTATTAATTAGTGATGAAAGAACTCTAAAACTTCTAATAAAAACCTTTACAGATTGACAAATCAGAAGCCAGACATCCCATCATTTCCACATTTTAAGTGTCCCCCACCCTACCCTGTATTATTTGATTCACATCTGCAAATCTTCAGCAAGCTCAAAGTGGTTGCCCTATGTCACATTCTTTCAGTTGGAGGGGACCTAGAAAGAGTGGCGTGATCACAACGTATATAAGGCCAGCACTGAGCCCTGATGTTTAGGGAATAATATTCAGTATTTCATAGTTACTAAGAATTTGAGAGATAGATAACCCACTAGGCAAAGTAAATTCTTTATTAAAAAGGCAGTATAAATGTTATTCCAAGGTCCAACCCAGGGCACCCTTTGTGATTCAACATTTATTTGCTTTTTCAAAATTCCTTCTAGCGATGGCAATCACTGGTTCTGTACCTTGTCTGGTACT